GCGTCTCTGAGAAACTTCAAGGAACAGCGTGAGTCCGAGTGCAGCGAGAGCTGGGCATTAACGGTTTACGAGACGTGGCTGACAGTGACATTGTTGTGACATTGGATATTAGTGTGTGCCATGGTGCGATTTAGCACGTTGTGAGTGCTAATACTGTTGACCGTGGGGAGTGTGGGCTTATTTAAGCTGTCACTGTTTTTGTCAGCATGATTGGGAGTCATATTTTTCTTATCTTTACCAACGGAGTTATGGCTAGGAGAGGACAATGTCGAATTTCGGGGGGTTTTGAATTTTTTCTGGGGTTATTTAGTGGCATTTTAGATTCTGCGATGATGGGTGGTATGGTTTTATTATTTATTTGGTTACAGTCTAGTGGCCTTTCGGCTGGTGTCGCACTCTGATGGGATATTTCTGTGTGTTTTGAGAGGGGTGATGCGGTGGGGTCTACTGTATCTTTCACAGAGTTGGGAATAATGGCTGCTTGCAATGTCCTATTACCTATTTCACAATTAGTCTTAGCGAGATAATTGTATGCGCGCCTTTCTATGACTGTTTTGTCCACCACAGAAGGGTACACGAAGGCTTGCGATAGGGTACGTTGGGAGTGGGTGAATTTTCCGGTCTCTGTCGGTGTTTCGAACTGAAAACGAATAGGGCAACACTTTTCATGTTGACTCTTCTTCAGCCTACAGCACCTAGTCTTGGAGTTAGGCATTTTCGCCTCACTAAGTAAGATGCGCCGTACTTTTTTTAGTGCCTCATCGTCCGGGACGTTGTAGACAATAGCACTCAGTTTTGCGTCGAGTCGTTTTGTTACTTCTGTGGTAACAAAGTTAATGAGGTTATCTACCTTAGTTACCGATTCTGTGTCAAGCTTGTTAAGGTTTACAGTTTTTATGAGGATAGTTAGAGGTGTCAGTTCACAGACCTGCGATCTGATATTGCTGATCTGATCTGATAATTTGGACATCTCGGTATTGGTTTGAATATTTCCAGCATTTACTGACTTGTTGTATTTTGATTCCTTGACTCAGCACTAAGTTCTCCTATGGACAACTTTAGAAGTTCTATTTCTGAAGATCGTACTGCTAAAGAGCATCATGTCTGGAGTTTTTCGATAAGCACATAGGTGAAGGGAGGGGTTCTGTATGAGCAGAGGGTACTGAAGTTTAAGGATTAATGCTAATACTAGCTGTCAGTATAGTTTTGAATGTACTGACAGCTAAGAGGCTCTTAAAGGTAATGGTGGTCAATTACAAGATGACTCCTAGGCACTCACTGATTTTTTGGATAATCTGATGACTTACAAGAATACGTCGATTTCGATGAATTGCATGAGCGATCTGAACTCAAGTTCCGTCCTAGAGGTAATAGCGAGACGCCTACCTACTCGACTGCAAAGGAAGTGGGTGAAGATAATCCCTCGTATTGAGGATGGAGGTATTGAGCCAAAGTTCGATGATATTCTGAAACTGGTAAAAGATAGTGTCAATCAAGCTATGAGAAAGTTTGCCAGTATATTGCATCCCACCCCTAGAATAGAGCAGTCTCAGAGCAAAACGCAATCATTTGTGACGAAAGGGTCTCAGAGAAGTGAATGTCAAGAAAACTCTATGGTGTCTAGTGATCCATATAAACTTAGTGACAGTAACAGCTTACGTGGGACATCCCCAACAGATAGGTCACAGGTTGCGGGACAAACACGGTTGTGCTTTAAACGTTTGCAAGAAGTGCATACAAAGGCGAACTGTGAAGAAGTGACCAAGTTTAGTGGCAAGCTAAATGTGAAATCAAGGTCTGACTTCGAACTGTGTGACAATAATGATGCAGCGAAGAAGCCTGTAGTTGCAACTGGTAGGCCATTGTTCAACGGAGTGTCACAGACGACACCGCAGTTTGTGCAGAAGAAGAGAGTTATAGTTTCAGAGTCCAGTTTTGACTCCACAAGTTTACAAGTTATTACTAATTAGAATAAAGGTATAAAATCTTTAAGGGTTTGTGCGGTAGGGCACAAATTGTCTACTGCTGTTATTAAAGAGGTTGAAAATGATGAAGTCCACCAGATAGACGACGGTAAAGTGAACATTTGTGACAATGATCATGATACTTCAGATTTGTCTTTGGCTGATCATGATGAGACGAGTGAATTTCCTACTACTATCGCTACTACTACTACTACTGAGTCAAACAAAGATTCTGTAGGACTTTAACGTGAAGTAGAATTAAGAGCATATGCGGTGGTAGAAGGTATGGATACTTGCGAGACAGTCAGTGCAAGTGATCCGCGTGTAGTCCGCCTACCAACAGATGTTAATGCTAAACTGGAGCTAATAATAAAAGACAGCAGTGGTGGTAATCTTGCAGTCAGACAAACTTCTAAAAGCCGAACAGCAACGGCTTCTGATGCACCGCTAAGTTCATCGGCTGGTATCACTCAGTCGTCGTTGGTGTTGTCATCCACAATGAAAGGGATGTCCATGAACTCACGTGTTTTATGCTATGACTATGCTTGTATCAGTCCGTTTGAAAGGACGAATATCAATGGTCAGTTTAGTGTGGATAAGCCAACTGTGTATGAGAGTGTAATTGTTAAACTGGCTTGCATGAATAAAGGCATTTCAAGTTTCAAAATATCTTATCTCATTTATTTTCTTATAACGTCTTTACTTGATCCTCATTTTCTCCATTAAAACTAACATTTTACAGCTCTTTATGACTTACTATATTCCTACTCTCTGAAGGGTACGGTTGTGCACTGAATGCACAAAAAGGTATAAAACACAAACAACTGGCACAACTGAGGATAAATGTATTAAAACCAAAAGTTGACATCATGATAGTACGAGATATACGTGTAAAATTATACATTGCAAATGAATGTTGTCAGCCTAGGGAGGTTCCTTTATAAATTCATTTATTAATGATACTTGCACTTACGTATTTCATTACAATTTAATGATTCACCTCAGCACTTTAACTTTTCTAAAACAGACTTCAATCCCTTGTAAAAGTTGTACTTACCTCAATATTGGTTGGTTATCGTATGCCTACAACCACGGGATGAAAACGAAACGAAGTCGATTTTCCCGCTCAACCTGGAGGACAACTGTACAATTCAATAACTATACGGCCTAGTCCAGAAAATGAGTGTATTATATGTATCAAATATTTAACAGTTGAAACATGATTAACTTGTAGACAATCTGAGATTTGAGACTATATCTTACTTGATCGTGCCTGTAAAAATGGCACGCATTTTCATGTAAATTTTTTAAATTTGTATGAAATACATTACATTATTATTATCCAAAAAATTCTTCAAAGGGTAGCGCATCAATGAGCAGTCCAATGTGGTTGGTGTGTGATTTTGTACATACGTTCATATTGTATATGCTGAATTGATATCATCTGTCATCTAGCTGTTGGTAATTCTGTTTGTGTCCGGACGACTTCCACTTGTATCATCAACCTGAGAAGGAATGTAGGCGTACTGCTGTAAGTCCTACAGTTCTTCGAGGGTAGTTCGTCATAGCAGAATCCGCAACATTTGATGTGTCGATTGTACATATGTTTGTGTTAAGTAATTGAGTGAGTTCCAATTATTGTAATTGTTGGTTAATCTTGTTTGTGTCCCAATAATCTTCAACTTACAATCGTCAACCTGAAAAGGGTTGTAGGCGTACTGGTGTAAGTCCTGCGATTCTTCAAAGGAATTCCATCAAGATGTGATCCGCGAGTTTTTGTGTACAGTTTGTATATATGTGTGGTGTGTCATATCAGTTGGTGTTTTTTGGATTCATTTTGTTTACTTGTTGTTTTCGTATCTTGTTGTTATTACATACTTTTGTTAAAATTTTCGTCGTGATTACTTCTGAAGTTGTTTCTAGTCTTCTACATCCATGAGTGAATTGATTGATGTTAAGGACAGCAGATGGGGCGTATACGCCGGGGAGGCTAGGCTATTGCTGAGAATGAAATGCACACGGAGATAATTGTTAGCTGCAGTCCGACATGCCGGAGAGAAAGAGTGTAAACGACTGAGGATCGCATGCGTCACCGTTACTAGAACTGAAGCAGAATGAGTGACAAGCGATTGTAGTGGTAATTGGTAGTGAGTAGATAAGAGGATGTGCGTAGAGTATCATGATTTGGTGCTATGGTCACGTTGCATTCTGCAAGAGTCATTCTAGCAAGTGGCGATTGTGTTGCAAGATGTCAAGAGGAGGTCTCTGTCTGGAGGCGCAGGTCGTCATTGATGTGTGAGATTGTGCTGTGGGTATGCTTGTGGTGTGTTGGCTTTTCTGTTTGTTTTCCATTTCAGCTCTGTCCGTGTGACCCAGGTTCTCGCAATGGCATCCAAGTCAACGTGCATTGGTCGTGAAGGAAAAAAGGGATGGATCCCTTTTTTGCCGGAGAGTGTCAATGGAGTTGAAGATTGAACGATCGATTCATGGTGGTTATCTCAAAACCAACTTCCCCAATTTTCGCGGAGGCATCAATACGACAGTCATCGTCTCATCGGTCGCTGTTCAGAAAGAAGTCAGAAGACAACTGTCAGAAGTAATATTGTGATTTATTATTGTAATATTTGTTCACAGACCTTAGTTAAAGCTTAATTTTAAAGTTGGATATATCGGTGTTACAATAAAGAATTCTCGAGTCGCCAATTGGTGTTTTGGTTTTTGCATCCGTTATTACTAAGCGTTTCTGAGAAACTTCAAGGAACAGCGTGAGTCCGAGTGCAGCGAGAGCTGGGCATTAACGGTTTACGAGACGTGGCTGACACTTAGTGTTTCAATAAATACATGTCACTTTGAACAAACCAATGCAAAGTCTACTTCAATTGAAGATTTATCTCGAATTATTGACACTATGATCGTAAAATGACGTTTTCATCAAATTGTGGTATAAAATGTTCCCCCTTTTACCGAAACTATATAAGATGGATTGGAGAGAGTACGTTGATCATTTGACTCAATTGATCTCAACCCAGCTGAGTTATGAGACCTGCACAAAGGATCCTAGTCCACTCATTCTTATTACTATGGTTAACTGCAATTTCAGATTGTTTAATTCCTAAAGTGAAACAATATGTTGCAGAACGTCGTGAATGCGGAATGATCAGACCTTTAGGTTTTAAACATAACTACAATTCGTGCTATATTTTAGAGTATGCACTGAAACGTTTTGCATTACGTCTAGAACAAGTACCACATAAGATTAGCTCTCATCGACCAAATTTCTGCAAAGTGACTACTATTCAAATTGATATTACCGAGGGCTGCAATGAAGAAAATGAAAAACTGTGGCCATCCGATTCAATAAAGGAATCATGTAGGTGGAACCCATTTTGGATGTTTAATCACGGAAAATTTTATTATCCAGATATTTTGAATGTTTCCAATGGTACTTTACGCATTCAGTTGGACGAAATATGGGGAGCATTACATGCTTTGGAAACAGTCCTAAAACTAGTGTTCAGAAATGGGAACTACAAGGTACAGTGCAGAAATGTGATCACTTCACGATAACAGAATGCAATATTTCAGTGTAGCATAGAAGATTCACCAAGATTTCCACACAGAGGAATGATGATTGATACTGCCAGACATTATCTAAGCGTTGAAACAGTTAAGAATGTCATTGTAAGTTGCCTTTCATCGTCACAGGAGGGCGGACACAACACATAAATTCACCCACTAGATCCGCAAATATCCTAGACCTTATTTTCACGAACAACATAACGCCATCTACAGTACATGTTGGACACGAATTTCCAGGTAGTGACCATAGAATAGTAGTTTGTTCTTTTGACATCTTTCCTGAAACAAAACGCAGAGATGAAGCCGGCCAGATACCTATGAGATTGTACACACATGCTGACTGGGACTTGTATCAGCACCTAATTAGATGTTCTAATTGGGACTAGTACTTTTCGAACCAGTCCTTAGATGCAATTCTTAACAACTTCTATCAGAATATTAACTCAATTCACGACGTCATTGCACCCGAGAAGATTCTTAACTTCAGATTCCCCCAAAGTGATTATATTCCGACATCGTTTAGAAGAAGTCTACGAAAGCACTCAATAAAATACTACAGATATCATGACTTATCGTCATTAATTGCCATAACGTCCCTTCTCAATAGAATTGAAGAGTTGATAAATATAGGCCTCAGAAACAAAGAAATGCAGGCTATTCATGCACCGCATAACTCAGGAGAAATAGCCAACTTTTCAATAGTAGGTTGGGGAACTCCAAAATAGTCTGTCCGAAAATTATCTACTTAGACGGCATTGCTTACGAAAATAATGAGGTGATATGTGAACTGTTTAGCAAGCACTTCGCCAGATTATACACCTTAGAGAACGATGAGGTCATGGATTTCCCACGTAAAACAGACGAATGTTTAAGTGACATAATTTTCACCACACATGAGATCGATAAAGCTGTCGCAAATCTTGAGCTTAGTAACACTAGTGGTCCCGACGGTATATCTTCCGTTCTGCTGATAAAAGGTGGTAGTGACATGAACTCTTGCGCTACGGGTGTTCACTTTCTGCGTGAATCATCTTTCCTTAATATTTTGGAAATTAGCCGCTTTCATCACATTATCCAGTTATCCATAGTCAACAAGGATTGTATTGTATCAACTGGAACAACATATAGCATTCACTCGTGAAATCTACGTCAAGAATCCTCGGATACCCTATCTAACTACGTGGAACTCAGGACTTTATCCACAGCAAACTCTGTAAAGGAAAGTCTGACTTTTTATTTTTGCAATATAAATCTGTTTATCGTTGTTGTTTTGATACTTCGATAATACAGCTATCTTATTTTTATATCCTCAAGACTTTTTTTCCGGAAATTGTGAAGTTTCTTATTTCTGTAATGGTTAAGTCTATCAAACGTGTAAGTACCGTTAAGAGACTGAGATCTAATACTAGTCAGCCATCTGAAGGCCTCAGCTCCGTTGACAATTCTACACTGTTTACACCAGCCATACCCAGAGTTATGGTATCTGATATCATGGAGGAATTAGCAGAGAATGCGGCTTGTAGCAAAAATGATTTACTGACACTTCAGAAGTCAATAGCAGAACTACAGAGCAAGTTTGACAGCATTATGCCTCTCACGCAACTGTGTGACCCACCACAAAACATCTGTTTTGAATCACTAATCAAATCCGAGCGCATAATTGACTATTTGGCTGAAGAAGCTGTTAAGAGGATTATGTCTTCACATAACGTCTTGGCCTATAACATTCCAGACAGAGAGCCGATTGCCAAACTTAAGAATTCGTGTCTAAAGGCTTGTAATATGTCGTTGACAGAATGTCAGGTTTTGCGTCTTCGTAAGAAATCTGCAAACCACCCGTGTCCTGTGCTTTTCAAGTTTAGGTCTACCGAAGAAGCCAGGAATTTTCTGAAATCGGGTAAGAAAATAGGCTCTTCAACACCATACACTAACATTAGGGTTGCACCTGATTTAACACCATGCCAAAGGCGATGCCGCTCAGGAACAGTGAACCCTGATAACTCTAATAGGATAACTGTAGATGATGTTCCGTGCGTTATTCCGTCTATTGAAATATCTGATCACGGCATGCAACAGACATTTTCGCAGGTAGTGGCTAATGTTAGCCAAGCATTATATAACGATATTGATGCAGACACTGAAATGGTGGACATAGATGAGTCAACGGGAAATAATGTTGAAATACATCGTTTTCACACTGACGCAAAAGTCAAGACACCGAAACCATCAAAACCCATCCCACTGGTGGTCCAACCATTGCCTTATAAGTCAGTTACTCCTCGGTCTGACAATCCACACTCTGTGAAGCACCAGTCGAATGTAGCCACCCAAGTTGGCAAGTTTTCTAGGCGTTATGACAAACGTCCCATTTCCATTAAGAAAACTAAAGCTCATGAGGTGTTCAAGCCACAGAAACCCTACATAGCATGTGCTGACTGCCCTGTTAGCCATCATCAGCCAGATAATCATAAGATAGGGGAAAAAGAAGTAAATAAATTAAATACTAAACCCGGAGCAAGAAAGCTCTTTGATAAGAAAGAGACGAAAGCACCTGTAGGCCTTCTTTGTAAGAGAAAGTCAAATATGGTAGACGAAGCTCCTAGGGGTAGGCCTAATTGGTGCCAAGTGGAAAGCCAATTTTATCGAATCCCTAATTCTAGACAAACAGCACAGCAAAGTAGTAGGTATTGTTCTGCACATCCACTACGTAAACCCCTTGTCAACCAGCCCACTTCTAATATTCTGTCTACTGAAAGTTATAGAAAATACCCCAAACATCGGCCACAGACCACATTTAGCAAGCCAACAGAACCCATTCATATATCTTATGTGTCTAGTGGGGAGCATGTGCCGATTTCTGCACAAAACTTGCCATGGTCTGATGAATACCAGAAACAGATACCAACACTTCATTCTTATACTGGCAACAAATTACCGAATACACATATCGGTTATACCTTAGGGCAGGATTTTCACCAGCGTCAGTTAACAGAAACACCTGGAATCATGCATATAGCACGCATGATATCGGATCAATTCCTTGCTGGCATAGCGAACAGTCTACAGCTAGGGCAAGGCATATTTCCCGGGAGATAGCTGACACAGTGTCGACACCAAACGCGGATACTAATATCTCTAAAATATTAATATCTGATTATCACACAGGTGTCTCTCACTGCATACCATATCCAAACGTAAGCCCATCCCTGACTACCACCTCAAAAATCTACCTGAAGTCTTCCTACGATCCAAAGATATTGGTAAATGAGTCTGATAACATGTATATAGAGGATACTCACGGATTATTTTACCAAGATGTTGTCCGCTCACTGAAACCACATAGCCAGTGTTTATCTATTATCCTAGTAAATACGAGATCAGTTCTAAGCAAACATTTAGCACTAAGTACAATAGCTTCTATATGCAGACCGTCATTGATTATGATCACCGAAGCCTGGTGCACAAGTGAAATCTCCAATGACAGCCTAAGGATTGATAAATACAACCTTTTTCGCGGGGACAGACGGACAGGTCGTGGGGGTGGAACACTAATTTACTGTGAACAATCCATGTGTGCAACCCAGTTTAGTAACCCAATTCTGTCACAACTCAATGACTCGATCTGGGTCGAAATAAAAGTTGTCAGAAGTAAACCTATACTTGTGGGTTGTGTGTACCGGCCCCCTTCATCCAGCAGGGAATATGATAATATGCTTAGCAATATCTTTAATGTTACAGCCAATCTTCCTTTCAGTTATAAAATTATCGGAGGCGATTTCAACTTGCCAGAAGTATCATGGTCTTCACTCCGAGGACCCCAAAGGTACGATAATCTCATAAATTCCATCGTCACAGGAGGGTGGACACAACACATAAATTCACCCACTAGATCCGCAAATATCCTAGACCTTATTTTCACGAACAACATAACGCCATCTACCGTACATGTTGGACATGAATTTCCAGGTAGTGACCATAGAATAGTAGTTTGTTCTTTTGACATCTTTCCTGAAACAAAACGCAGAGATGAAGCTGGCCAGATACCTATGAGATTGTACACACATGCTGACTGGGACTTGTATCAGCACCTAATTAGATGTTCTAATTGGGACTCGTACTTTTCGAACCAGTCCTTAGATGCAATTCTTAACAACTTCTATCAGAATATTAACTCAATTCACGACGTCATTGCACCCGAGAAGATTCTTAACTTCAGATTCCCCCAAAGTGATTATATTCCGACATCGTTTAGAAGAAGTCTACGAAAGCACTCAATAAAATACTACAGATATCATGACTTATCGTCATTAATTGCCATAACGTCCCTTCTCAGTAGAATTGAAGAGTTGAGAAATATAGGCCTCAGAAACAAAGAAATGCAGGCCATTCATGCACCGCATAACTCAGGAGAAATAGCCAAACTTTTTAAAAGTAGGTTGGGGAACTCCAAAACACCCTATCCGAAAATTATCTACTTAGACGGCATTGCTTACGAAAATAATGAGGCGATATGTGAACTGTTTAGCAAGCACTTCGCCAGATTATACACCTTAGAGAACGATGAGGTCGTGGATTTCCCACGTAAAACAGACGAATGTTTAAGTGACATAATTTTCACCACACATGAGATCGATAAAGCTGTCGCAAATCTTGAGCTTAGTAACACTAGTGGTCCCGACGGTATATCTTCCGTTCTGCTGATAAAAGGTGGTAGTGACATGAACTCTTGCGCTACGGGTGTTCACTTTCTGCGTGAATCATCTTTCCTTAATATTTTGGAAATTAGCCGCTTTCATCACATTATCCAGTTATCCATAGTCAACAAGGATTGTATTGTATCAACTGGAACAACATATAGCATTCACTCGTGAAATCTACGTCAAGAATCCTCGGATACCATATCTAACTACGTGGAACTCAGGACTTTATCCACAGCAAACTCTGTAAAGGAAAGTCTGACTTTTTATTTTTGCAATATAAATCTGTTTATCGTTGTTGTTTTGATACTTCGATAATACAGCTATCTTATTTTTATATCCTCAAGACTTTTTTTCCGGAAATTGTGAAGTTTCTTATTTCTGTAATGGTTAAGTCTATCAAAC